GGCAGGGCTGGGGAGATGGCTCAGTGGTTGGGAGCATTGCCTGCGGTTCCAGGGGTCCTGAGTTCAGTTCCCGGCGGCCACATGGTGGCTCACAGCCATCTGTAAAGAGGTCTGGCGCCCTCTTCTGGACTTCAGGCATACAGACAGAATGTTGTATACATAATAAATAAATTTAAAAAAAAATAAATAAAGAGTTTAGGGCAGAAGACAAGCTGCCTAGGTGACTTCACACTTCAGATGTGAGGTTAGGATCGTATCATGGCTAGGAATGATAGACCAGAGTTCAAACCTTGGTTCTGCTATTTATTAGCTATATGGCCTTGGGTAATCAATTGATGTCTGTGACTTATTTCTTCATTTATGTGACAGGGCTGAAGTCTCTAGCACAAAGGATTGTGAAAATCTCATTAGCTTGTTTGGAGACAGGGTCTCACTATTTAGCCCAGGCTGGCCTTAAGCCATGACCCTCCAAGTGCTACTAGGATGGTGGTTACCTCTCCTAGTCTTATTCACGTCTCAGGGAGCTAGACTCAGATCATTAGCAAGATTCCATTCCAGTGCCCAAGGCCCCTCCTGGGATGGAGATAATGATAACCCGTGTTTTTCCCTTAGATATACATATGACACTATTTAATTTCTGAATTAGTAAGAGTTCAACAATAATAGCACAGAACTATAACTGTATACTGTAATAAAATGGGAAGAATTTCTTTCTTATAAGTCCAAGAAGCCAGTGTGAGGAAGTGAACTTAAAGAAGGGTGCTGGGGAAGGATCTAAAGGAAAGGCCATCCCCGCATTGATCTTATGGTGTCAAAAGCAGGGCAAGGGAGAAAAGCGACCCTGGGTAACTCAGACTGGATCCCTACAGCGTTTACTTTAACATGGAAGTTTTCTTGGAGGAAGGCAGAGACTGAGTGTGAAGCGTCTGTCTGGCCCTGGCTGTGAGTTCAGGGGAAAGCTGTTCCTCCCCATTATCCCTCGGGTTTTGTCAACTTAGTCTCTCTGAGCCTCGCGTTATTTGCTGTCAGGGTGGTCCCTGGGATCCCTGTACTCAGCAGGTGGAGGTAGGGGAAGCAGCCTGAGCTATCCAGAAAACAAATAAATAAAAAATAAATAAGCAGATTAAACCTGCATGATGGAACACACTTGTAATCCATAGTCAGGAGGCAGATTTTGTCCATGAGGCTAACCTGGGCTACACATTAAGATACTGTCTCACCTGACTGAGGAGTAACAGGAAGATTTACTGTAATAGTATGCATGTTGTCAAAGTCTGACATGGGGCTCTCGACTACAGAAGCCCCTTTTGGGTCTACATTTCATGACATACACCTGCCATGGATGCTGAAACTTTGAATGGTTTCAAATCGTGTGTGTGTGTGTGTGTGTGTGTGTATTTATTTAGGTTGTTGTTGAGATAGGTTCTTGCCATATTCCTCAAGATGGCCCAGAACTGTGATCCTCCTACTTCAGTCTCCGGGGTGCTGGGATTATAAGAGTGCTGTCATACCTAGCCTGTGTTTTCTCCTTTAGGTATATACCTATGATACAATTTAATTTCTAAATTAGGCATAGTAAGAGTTCAACAATAATAATATAGAATTATAACAATATACTGTAATAAAACTTGTTTTAAACTTACAAATTGTTTATTTTTGAAATTTTCCACTTAATATTTTCAGACCATGATTGACAGATGGCAGCTGAAATTGGGGAAAGTCAAGCTAAGGGAGAACTGTTGTCATTATTAAAGCCAGAGTTCTCTTGGCTGATTGCTAGGTCCCCACATGGTCATGTTGTAGCTTGAATTCAAAGCCACTTCCTTTTTGATTTATTTTTTGTTTTGTTTTGAGATAGGGTCTCATTATGCAACCCTAGCTGGCCTGGAACTTGCATAGACCAGGCTGTCCTTGAACTCACGAGAGGCACACCCGCCCCTGCCCTCCAGAGTGCTGAGATTAAGTCCTGTGCCACCCCCACCTGGCCCCAAAGCCAGTTTCTTAGGATAAAGGACTGGTGGTCTTCAAGTTGCTCTTCTCCAGCCTGTGAAAGAGAAGGTCCTGTTCTCTGTCACTTACTGTTTCTTGTGGTGTTTCCTCTTTAAAAAAGGAGGGTGTTGGACTGAATATAGGAGAGGCAGCACATGGCTTATCCTATGTGCCAAGTGATTATCTGATCATGAATTAATGATTTTTTGTTTGTGTTTATTTATTTATTTATTTAGAGATTAGGGTTTCTGTGTGTAGCTTTGGAACCTGCCCTGGAACTCACTCTGTAGACCAGGCTGGCCTCAAACTCACAAAGATCCGCCTGTCTCTGCCTCCCAAATGCTGGGATTAAAGGCCTGCACCGCCACCTCCCGGCTCAATGCCATCATTAAACTGTGAAGTGGGTAAAAGAAACTGACATCCCACTGGCTCCACTTTCTACTAGGTTCCTGGGCTTTGGCCAAATAGTCTCTTTTGTCAGTCGCCTCTTCACTGGGCTCTGGGTTCTGTCTTTTCTCCTTCGTTTTGGGTTCCTAGAGAGAGCATGTTAACATGTGTGAGCTAGTCACTTTCCTGAGGAAAATTCTCAGAAATCCCTTATAGTGAGTGGTTCTCCATCCCAGCCCTCCCCGTGGCCAGGGCCCTGTTTCCCTCCTGTAACTTGGCCCTGTCACAGTGTCTTCCTAGCGCCCCCTACATCGGCAGCATTCTAGCAGAACCAGCGGTCTTAACTCTGGTCCTGTAAGCAGGATTCTTCCCAGGGCTGGAGGAAATTAGTAGCCAAGCTCACTGACACTGCTGTGTCACCAGCACCAAGGTTTTGAAATAGGGTCCCCATATGTAGCTCAGGCTGGCCTGGATCTCTTGATCCTCCTGTCCCACTGCTGGTTTTTCGGGCACCTAGCACTTTTTATTTAATTGCAAATCCCCAGTGCCGCTTAACTCTATAACCTAGAATGTGCCCAATAAACTTTATGAATTAATACAATTAATACAATGCCACCCGACATTGTGATGTATTAACTCTTTATGTAAGGTGCACAACCACGGAGGCAGTGGTTTCCTATTTTACAGGTGGAGGAAATGAGGCTCAAAAAATTTGCAGTGTGCGGGAGACCAAGGTTTCCGCTGAGGCCTCTTAAGGCTGACCTGTCCTCCCTCTCCCTGCAGGTTGCCAGCCAGATGCCAGCGCCGTCGGTCGACCCGGCGCGGCCCCACGCGTGCCCAGACTGCGGCCGCGCCTTTGCGCGCCGCTCCACACTAGCCAAACATGCGCGCACGCACACGGGCGAGCGTCCCTTCGCGTGCACGGAGTGCGGCCGGTGCTTCTCGCAGAAGTCAGCGCTGACTAAGCACGGCCGCACGCACACGGGCGAACGACCCTACCAGTGCCCGGAGTGCGACAAGCGCTTCTCCGCCGCCTCGAACCTGCGGCAGCACCGGCGGCGTCACACGGGCGAGAAACCGTACGCATGCGCACACTGCGGCCGGCGCTTTGCGCAGAGCTCCAATTACGCGCAGCATTTGCGCGTGCACACGGGCGAGAAGCCTTACGCGTGCCCGGACTGCGGACGAGCCTTCGGCGGAAGTTCGTGCCTGGCGCGCCACCGACGCACGCACACGGGCGAGCGCCCGTACGCATGCGCCGACTGCGGCACGCGCTTCGCTCAGAGCTCGGCGCTGGCCAAGCACCGGCGCGTGCACACGGGCGAGAAGCCGCACCGCTGCGCCGTGTGCGGCCGGCGCTTCGGCCACCGTTCCAACCTGGCGGAGCATGCGCGCACGCATACGGGCGAGCGGCCCTACCCGTGCACGGAGTGCGGCCGGCGCTTCCGCCTCAGCTCACACTTCATCCGCCACCGTCGCGCGCACATGCGGCGCCGCCTCTACATCTGCGCGGGCTGCGGCCGAGACTTCAAGCTACCCGCCAGTGCCACAGCCGCCACGCCCACCGAGCGCTGCCCGGAGTGCGAGGGCAGCTGAGGCACGGCGGGGCAGCGAGGGCCACTTGGGATTTGCACCCGAATGGCTGCTTCCACGCTTGCACCTGGGTCGGGGTGCTTTGGGACTGGGCAACAGGGAGTGCCCTGTTGGGATCCCTAGAAACCGTGCCCCATCCCCAGCTACATTCCCTTGGCCCTTCTGAGTGAATAAAGTATTCTATCCTCACATCACCGGTGCCTGTAAGTGAGGTGGGTGGCAAGGGGAGGAACACTAGGTAGGGAGCAAAGTGGGGGTATAAAGTAGCCTGAAGGGATTCCGGGGACTGGGAGACACACACCTGGCTTTGGCTCAATCTCAGCTCTGAAAAGAACCATAAACAGGACATGTTCATGACATGTTCTACAGCCTTGGGGGATCAGTACGACAAATGGGGATAGGGTTATGTAGATATAAGAACTCACTTACGTAAGTACATTAACTTTACCCACATTTATTTAGGGTCTAAGTGGACTCATATACACCAGGCAGGTCTTTCACTCTGGGGAATCGCTTTCTGCTTCCTGAATCCTGGGATTACAAACTTGTACCACCACGGCTGGCCCCAAACCTCATTTTATCTTCACTTTTGCAGACAGCTAGTGAATGGCCTAACAGACAAGGAAATTAGCGATCCCATTCAGGTGTTCACCAGAACCATGATGGGAAAGTAGGCAGTGATTCAACCCTGGGGTGTGTGTACATGCGTCCATATACATTTAAAAAAAAAAATCTTGTAGAGGCTCTGAGTTCCAAGAATCCATAACTCTAGTTCTAGGGGATCTAAAGCTCTTGTCCGACTTCACGGACACCAGGCACTGACATAGTACACAAACACACATGTAGGCAAAACATTTATACACATAAAAAAAGTTTTGGTTTGTTGCCCAAACTGCCCTCAAACTTGGATCCTTCTGCTCTGGGTAAGTGCCAGGTGTGATATCTGAGTCCAAGGCCAGCCAACCATACATAGTGAGATCTTGTCTCAACAAACAACAAAAAGACCGCCGCAAAGAAGGAGCAGAAAGTGCTGCTTTTCCCCTGTGGCGTACACCTTTATTTCCATTGTAACATTTTTATTCATTTGGGAATATCACACAATGCACCCTGTTTACACTCATTTCCAGTTCCTCCCAGGTCTACCCTCCAGCCTTGTGCCCTCACCACAAAAAGAAAAAAAATACATCAGGTCCAATTTGTACTGCCCACTCAATACTCACTGGAGCATGGCCAAATGCCCAGCGACCGGCCAGCCCCTTAAAGATAACCGAGTCATTCCCCACCTCCCTCCAGAGGCCATCAGCTGTGAAGAGCTACACTCCAGCATCCCTGTCAGAAGGCTCTATAGAGCGAGTTCTAGGGCAGACTCCAAAGCCACACAGAGAAACCCTGTCTCAAAAAATAAAACAAAACCCAACAAGATTCAGAGGGTTTGGAAATATAAAACAAAGCAGTTTAATGATGACTTGCTTTACCTGGGAAGGCAAGAGGGGCAGATAATCACTACTATTGCTTTCTCTGTGTGACCCTGTTTTGGGGAGGCAGGCCTAGCAGTCTCGGGAAGTGGGGTGCCTTAGGTTACACACCACATAAATCATTCACTCAGTACCACCTCGCTGCAGAGGAAGAACAGAATTAGCCAGGTGAGAGGGGTGGGTGGCCTTTACTTGTATCAAGGGACCAAAGAGGAAAGGAAGCTGTATTCTGCACTCATCAAAGCCTTGTGGCCCACATTTACTTCCGGTTCTCTGCTTTTGTAAGCCTGCTTCTCTGAAGGCCCTGAGATGTTCCACCTAGCCACCCAGGAAAAATCTAGATGTTGTTGTCATGTATCATTTTATTGAGAGAAAAAAGACCAGGAGATTATTTTTTGGAAACTAGGGCATCAGACCTATGACTCAGTTAAGAACGGACTAGAACGAGTCCATCTCTGCTGTTCTGACACTGTTTCCTAGGTGGAGGCCTGGCTTTGCAACTCAGAGGTAGGTTCTGCAGCCCCTACAGCCTGGTTTTCAGGGATGGCCCCATGGGGCAAGTCTGTGTACTTGCAGGCAGAACCTCGGGAGAGATGGACTGGGTAACGACGTCGGTTGGTGTCCATTTTGGCAATTACTGCTCGAGGTAAATCCACGCGACAACGGGCTGCTAATGCCACCAGGTAGATGAGGACGTCGCTGAGCTCCTCTTGAAGGGCTGCTCGTTCCTTTGGCAGCCAGGCTTGAGGACCAGGCTCTGCATCAGACTTCCACTGGCTGGAAGAACGGGACAGACACACAGCTTGCTAGCTGAGCTGGCCTGTCTCCAGTCTATCAAGTATCACACTCCCAGAGCCCAGAAAATCCCACCAAGGACATCTACCTGCCTGTGCTCTGGAGGAAGCCAGGTGGGGTGGGGAAGAAGACTTAACAGGTAACAGCCAAACCCCGTGTCTCCACCCAAGCCCAGTGGCCAAGAGAGCACTGTTGAGATGCTTGGGGGCTCAATTCTACCGTTCTCTAGCCGTAGCTGCTGCCCTTCCACACCAAACCCCAGGCCTAAGTCAGTGCAGAAGCTGAATTTATCTTCATGTCATCTTTACCCACTCATCTCCCACCCAAGGCCACTTCACCTTTTCTGTTTGCGGTCACTGCTTCCTCGCACACCACCCGCCGAGTCCCCAGATTTTCCCCTTCTTGATCCTTAGGTATCAACTCAGGTCACTCCCTCAGATACCCTCCTGTCCACTCCCAACACAGCTTCGTAGGTAGCCGAGGCAGAACGCCCACACCACCAGCCACTTCCTCTAGAGTGCTGGGATTACATCTCACACCATCACACCTGCCTCTATTTTCCTCTGAACCCTGGCCACAGTCACAGATCATTTGAAATTAGCTCCTGATTATCAGTCTCCTTCCACTAAGACCGGAGTAGGCCTGGTCCAAGGCTCCGTCTAGGTTTACACCGCCTGTTCACTAGTCTGCTCCACCCCATCCTCTCAGACATCCAAGTGCCCTGCAGGCAGAGATCTTTCTGTGATTCCAGTTAGATCAGGCCTTCTGTCTGGACGCCATCACCTTCTAGCGCCAACCTTACTTGCCTGGGTTTGTCTCCCACAGTTCCTTCTACAAAATGCTTCCAAGGCCATCATATACTTGGGGGCGTACCGGACAACAAGAACAGACACAAGATCCCTCATACTGAATTCGTCTCTCAGAATTTAACTTGCCCTTTCTTGTCTCACTATTTTTCTTTCTTCAACAATTTAGCTATTGTTCAGGTATGTGTGCAAGCACCTGGGTGTCTCTATGAACTGTGTATATGCAGGAGCCTCCAAGGCCAGAAGACAGTGTCAGGTCCTCTGAAACTGGAGTTATGGGCGTTATGACCGGCAACAGGGGTGCTGGGAGCGGAACTCAGCTCTTCTTCAGGACCAGGAAGTGCTCTGGAGACCTCAGCAGTCCCTTCACCACCTCTGTAAGTGGGAGCTCCCCACCTGGCTGGCCACAGGGCAGGTCATGTTTTGAGATTCCTTATTCTCAGCTCCACACAGAGGTAAATGTTAGTGACCGTCCTTAGACCTAGGTCGGCTTCACTGCTTCTGCACCTTCTCTCCCCGGAAACTGGGCACCTACAGGGCTGGGACCCATCTGTCACCTTCATGTCCCCAGCAGTAAGGCAAATAAAAGCCACCACTGTGTTTGAGGCTCAGGTACATGCTACCCTCCCCAAATCACAGCCCCTTCCAGGAAGCCTCCCATCTACTCACAAGAGTTCTGCCAGCTCGCCCACTTCTCCCACCAAGGCTAGGAGCAGGTTCCGAGGCTGGTGGAACTGCTCCCAGTCCCGTTCAGCAGCAAATTCTGCATGGAGACGTCGGCTGGAAAGAAAGAAAGGGGTGGGGTGTTAAAGTCAGGGTTAGAGGGCGAGGGACAAGATACACGGCCCTGGCAGGTAGCAGGTCAGGTCTTACATATAGATGGGGCACAGGACTAGGATTCCCACAGTCAATTTTCTGGATGTTCTTAGGAACTACCTCTTTGTTTGCTTGTTTTTTGAGACAGAGTTTCTCTCAAGCTTTGGAGGCTGTCCTGGAACTAGCTCTTGTAGACCGGGCTGGCCTCGAACTCACAGAGATCCGCCTACCTCTGCCTGGGATTAAGGCGTGCACCACTTCGCCCGGCAAGTTACTACCTCTTAACAAGACTTGTTCTTATCATCTGGAAATGAACGCTACATTTTGCCTCACTCTTTATTATCCCATCTTTTGCTGCTACTTCTGCCGGTACCCTACCTTAACGCCCCTATCTTCGCACGCCTAAGTTCAGCTAATCACCGGATGCACTTTTGAGGCGTCCCCTGGGAGCCTTCCTTGATATTCTACAAGAAATAACGTCTCTGTAATTTCAGCCTCCCCTGTCCTACTACCCCTCACTCTTGGGTGCAGAGATACTATCAGACTTCCGTTATCTCCCCAAAGTTGGACAACTGGTTGGTACTACCATGCCCAGGGGCGTCACCCATTTCCCCCGGCTTCAGATGTGCACCGTGCAGATGGGGTTTAGCTAGGCTCGCCAGAGGTCCGTCAGGAGGACCCCGACGAACACGAGCGTGTTGTTCTTGCAGGCCACGTGGAGAGGACCGCCCCACTACGACAAAAGGGTCTAAGTCTCCACCCGAGGCTGGACAACGACTTGCTTACATGTCCTCAAGCGTGGGCTCCGGGCTGAAGCTGAACGGGCCGGCAACAGCAGAGTTTTCTTGCCCCGCATCACCGCTCGCACCGCCACCGGCTTGGGACATTCCGCCCACCAGTCCCCGCCGCGCCGCAGAGAGCAAACCCCGCGCCACGTTCGGAGTCGCCTCCAGGGTCCCGACCAATCCCAGCGCCTTGGTGCGCTCCCGGGGCGGAGACGGAGGAGGACCCACTCAGCTATGTGGATTTTGTTACGGTCGGTCCCCCATCCGGACTGGACCAATCTGAGGGAGCTTCAAGAGTGTTTTCCCCGCCTGCTCCCTCGAGTTCTTCCGCCCGAGAAAAACTTCTTAAAGGGAACGGAACCAGTTCTATCTGGAAAAGAGACTAGGGCAGAAAGACGTTGTTTGCTTAATGGGCGCCAGAGGGCGCCAAAGTGAAATGGCAGGCGCGGAGGAGGCGGGTCCACTGTAAGCAAAACCTTGAAAGTGACTTCTCCTCCTCCTTTTTTTTTTTTTTTTTTTTTTCTCTGTAGCTTTGGAGCCTGTCCTGGAACTAGCTCTTGTAGACCAGGCTGGCCTCGAACTCACAGAGATCCGCCTGACTCTGCCTCCCGAGTGCTGGGATTAAAGGTGTGCACCACCACTGCCCAGTAAGTGAAGGATCTTGAGCATGCCTTGTCTCTCGGTTAGGAAACTGCCTAAGGTTCTAGAACAGCCTTCCCACAATTTGAAAGAGGCTGACAAGAAAGAGTGCAAACTGCCAGACACAAGGAGGACCCAGGCTTTGTATTCCATTTTAGCCTTCTGCCCCAATGGATTCCAACAATTGGAAGCGATTAACCCTTCCTTGTCCTACAGGAAGAGGAAGGCACTCCTCCTCTTCACCTGCAGCATAGAATACAGGACACTGAAATTTGTGGCAGGTAGTTAGGGTCTGCTCTCTTCCCACCTTTCCAGCTCTGTGGGTCACTATCACAGCCTTACACAATACATAAGAGGATTTGGTGTGTGTGTGTGTTTTCTGCATGTATGTCTGTGGACCACTTGCGTGCCTGGTGTCCAGGGTGGCCAGAAGAGGATGTCAGATTCCCTGGAACTGAAGTTAGACAGCTGTAAGATGCCAGTGGGTCCTGGGAACAGAACTGAGGTCCTACAAGAGCAGCAAGTGATCTTATCCTTGGAGCCATCTTTCCAGCCCCTTAAGAATTTTTCCTCCTTAAGATCTATGAAGAAAACTATGTGTATGCGTGTGTCTGAGCATGTGCACATGAGTAAAGTTGTCCACACAGGTCAGAGGTGTGGAATTCCCAGAAGGTAGAGTTATCCATGGTTGTGAGCAGCCTGATGTGGGCAGGTGATCCCTCTGCAAGAGCAGCAAAGGTTCTCGATTGCTGAGCTGTCTGCTCAGCACCTCCTTTTCTATTTTTAAGGGTGCTGGAATCCAACCCAGAGACTTGGCCTTGTTAGGCAAGCGCTGTCCCCAGTCCACTGAGCTACCCCAGCACTTGAGAGTTATTACTTTCACATCTGAAAAATCACCCAGTCATTGCCCATGATAAGATGGGAATTACCAAAGAAGAGGCATTTTGTTTGTTGGTTGGTTGGTTGGTTGGTTTGATTGGTTTGATTTTTTTTTTTTTTGGTTTTTTTGAGACAGGGTTTCTCTGTGGTTTTGGAGCCTGTCCTGGAACTAGCTCTTGTAGACCAGGCTGGTCTCGAACTCACAGAGATCCGCCTGCCTCTGCCTCCCGAGTGCTGGGATTAAAGGCGTGCGCCACCACCGCCCGGCCTCCGCTTGCATTTTTATAGGAAAGAAAGAAGAGCTGAATGAGTTGAGAGTAAGATTGTGAAAATTAAGGTCACACAGGGTGAGAGGGTATCACTTAGTGGTAGAGTTTTTCATGCAGAAGGCCTACCACCAGATTAACAAAACCCAAAGGTGTCGCGATTTCTGTCTCGGTTCAGATAGATACCTCTGACAAACTAGTGCACATATCTGGAGAGACAGAAACATGAAGGTCATACAGCCCGATTTATAATAGTGAGAAAAGCAAAGGGCAGTTCAGAGGGTAGCAGAAGCATGTCTATGCTGGGGGCTGCTTACGCGGTGGCCTTTGTTAGCAGTTCTCCTGGAGTGCAAGCAACTGTCTGTCGTGGACCAGCCTCGACAAAAATACCACTTACCAGGGTAAGGGCATGGGGATCTGAAAATAGTAAGGAGGATGAAGACACAAGTAAAATTAATAAAACAGAAACATAGGAGAGTATTGGGAGGAAGGTCCAGGCAATACTGAAATCACCCATGTTTAATTTTCCATACACTTTTTTTTTGTTTGTTTTTTTGAGACAGGGTTTCCCTGTGTAAGAGTCCTATTGTCCTGGAACTAGCTCTTGTAGACCAGGCTGGCCTCGAACTCACAGGGATTCACCTGCCTCTGCCTCCTGAGTGCTGGGATTAAAGGCACGTGCCACCACCACTGTCCAGCCAACTTTTATACCCAATACAAAGGACAACTCCAACAGTTAATTGCTTCAACACTTTGAGACATTAAGTTATTAGCATTCTGTTGTTTAGGCAGTGAAGCCACCCTAGACCAAGTTTCCTGAAAGCAGCCACTCTACAGGTTAAACCTCTTAATACAAAAGAAGGAGCAGAGGTATGCTTGCATATCCTGACCGTCTGTCAGGATGGAGTGGACGTACGTGTATGAACATCTTAATGTCAAAAGAACCAAGTAACCACATCCTGGGTCAGGATGTGTAGCCCTGGTTGTTGTCAGCAATTTTGAAGCTCAACTCTCTGACCTTCAGCTAATGGATTTGAATGCACTCTGATATGCCCTACAAAGCATGACAACCTTCTTTGCTGTACGGCGTTTGAATTTGCTGGAATAGCATTTTAACTTGCTTATTGCTAGTCCCAATACGTGGGACATTTTCTATGACTTGAAGAGCATTAAAAATATATTGGCTGTCAGTACACAGATTAAATACCTTATTTGCAAAAAGTTGAAACACTATAACAACAGCTCCAGCTCAACTATCTGTGCTGAGAATGGTTTGGTTACCACCAACACAGCTGCTCTTCCACTGGAAGAAACATCTGTAAAAATTATTATAGAATCCTTTAATGGATCTTTCACTTCAACTTTAGAGAAAATAAAGAAATATAGTTGTTTGAATGGCAGCAACGGATGAGCTGGGAAAAGATTATTAATCTGGCCTTCAAACTGAGCAAATACAATTGCCCAAGAATCACTATTTTGAAATAACCGATCAATCTGTTGCTTAGTATAAGAAATGTTGATCATAGCAGGTTCCCTGACAAAGTATCTCCTAGATTCCATCCTGTTCTTCTGTGCTAAACAAGCTACTGTTTCAAAATAAGGGTTTAATACCTTAACTGGTGAAATGGGAAGGTACAGCCATAAAAGCGGGCCATTTTGCCATAATGTAGGAGTAAGTTTTGTAGGTAATATGCATGCTTGCCGAGGTTGATTGTAATTAATATAATGTACTTGATGTCTGTGTATAGCATACTCTTCCTGTGTGAATTTTTGACAGCTTTTGTAAATTGTCTAGTAGAATTTGGGTCATTGCTTTCTTTAAGAATTTCACTTAATGGCTCAATGGCTTAATGGCTGTAGGATATTTTTGTCTTTTTTTTTTTCTGAAGCTGAGGACCGAACCCAGGGCCTTGCGCTTGCTAGGCAAGCGCTCTACCACTGAGCTAAATCCCCAACCCCTCAATGGCTTAATGGCTGTAGGATATTTTTAAATAAGGTTTCAGCCATTGGATATTTTATTAAAAGTTTGTAAACTATCTTTTTTTTAAAAAAATATTTATTTATTTATTTATTATGTATACAATATTCTGTCTGTGTGCATGTCTGCAGGCCAGAAGAGGGCACCAGACCTCTTTACAGATGGTTGTGAGCCACCATGTGGTTGCCGGGAATTGAACTCAGGACCGTTGGAAGAGCAGGCAATGCTCTTAACCACTGAGCCATCTCTCCAGCCCCTGTAAACTATCTTTCTAATCTAAACTGCAAGTCTGCCCAGCTGACTTAAAAAAAAAAAAAAGCCCAGGATGCTTCCTCCTCTACACAGTATTGAGTTGAATGGCGTGGGATGAGTAGGCCTGGGCCCTCAGCAGCATGGCCAAGAATCTTGTTTTTTTATTTATTTATTTTTATTTTTTTTTATTTTACAAGTTGCAGAATACCGTACTTTAACACTCAGGTTCTAGAAGGTAATAAAGCCCTGTGTTACTCAAGCCATTTTCAGTTGAGTTTTCTATTTTTTTTTCTTTTTTGAAAATATTTATTTAGCATGTGTAGGTGTTTGCCTGCATGTGTGCCTGGTCCCCAGGGAGGCCAGAGAGGATGTCTGATTTCCCTGGAACTAGAGCAACAGTGAGCTGCAGTGTGGGTACTGGGGACCAAACCCAGGCACTGGAAGAGCAGTCAGTGCTCTTTTATCTTGTTGGTTTTCAAGACAGCTTTTTTCTGTGTAGCCCTCGCTGTCCTGGAACTCAATTTGTAGATCAGTCTGGCCTGGAACTCACAGAGATTTGCCTGCCTCTGCCTCCGGAAAGCTGGGGTTAAGGGTGTGAGTCACCACCTCCTGGATACAGCCAGTACTCTTAATGTCTGAGCCATCTCTCCAGACTTTTTCTTTTTCTTCTTAGAAAGTGATGATCGAGCTGAGCAACAGATCAAGAATGGAACACTAACTAGAAGGAACCACCAATTCATAAAGCTGAAAACATGGTATGTTCCCAGATGAACAGAATCTCAGGAGTCGGGAGGTAGCCCTGTGGTAGCATGTGTATTTAGCATACATAAGAGGCTGTTTTCATTTCCAAAGCATGCAAGAGCTGGGGTAAAGTGAGAACGCAATCAAGTTTGAAGCCTGTGATTGTAGTACTTGGGAAGCTGAGGCAGGGGGATTGTAAATTGAGGCCTGCCTGGGTTACTTGACAAGTTCCAGGCCATCTTGAGCTTTCTATAAACAAACAAACAAACATATTAATAAATTGGGCATAACTCAGTTGATAGAGTGCTTGCTTCACAAAACCCTGGGTTCAATCCCCAGACCCAGTAACCTGACTGGGCGTAGTGGCACAAGTTTGTAACCTCAGCACTCAGGAGGTAGAAATGGGTTGGAAGTTCAAGGTCATTCCTGACTGCATAG